TAATATCCTGTCAGGCTGATTGGCATTGGGCTTGCTATACATTTCTTTTCCTGTCTTTGGAAGATGGGGGTAATTGCATTTGTCTGCAACCACTCAGCAATATTGTCAGAGTTGATAAAACATTATTTTTTAAAAGGCCTCTTTGGAAGCAATATGCTGCATAAATCACAGGTCCCTATCAGGGTGGTTATTTTTGTGCTTATTTCTTTGGTAGTTCAGTAGAACATTGATATTTCTTACCAGATAACTCACATTGAGTCACTAGATGCCCTAACACTAAAGCAACAGAATTTTGTGTCTCTAACCTTCTGATGAACTTGGGGATTAAACTTGGTTTATTTCCTTTTAACTGTTGGAAGTTTTCAATTTGATTAGCTTGTGAACATATGTCTGGGCAATTCTTTGCCAAATACTTCTGCATATAGAATGAAGATAACAGTTAAAACTCACCACATCCCTGTGAAGAGATTGATATATATTTTTTTGCCCTCATGTAATCTAGTATTTTAAGAATTGAACCCCAATATTTAAAAAGCTATTGCTTTCTTTTTTTTTTAAGATTTATTTATTTATGCATACAGAACTGGGATACAGTTTTGTACCAAGTGAGAGGTACAGGGGTGATGAGAGGCTTCATAAGATGAGGAGCAGAACAGGCAGATAGAGGAAGTACACTGCTGAGGGGAGCAGTGAGCAGGTCAGGAGAGGTCTGCAGCACCATGTGGGTCACCTCTGGGCAGGCAGGGATGAATTCATGCTGAAGTGGCTTTAGCTTCTTAGTGCTTGCTTTAACACACTGTGCTACCAGGAAGGGCCCCACTTTTTGCTTTCTTAAAGCACAATTCTTTCATCTCAGAGTCCCAGGCCTGTGGTTCCAAATTAGTTGTATTTTGTATAATATAAAAGACCATCTCCAACCATAGGCTGAAGTCAAAGGCGGCGCCCCTTGGAAGGGCTGCTACCGAGGATGAATAACTCCAGGTGAAATAAGATCAAAGTATCTGTGCAGGTGGAGACTGATAAGAAAGATAAGGGTAGGGAGAAGCAGCCCTGGTGATTCAGCATTAGGGATTTCAGCCTTATTTTGATTTTTAGCTACTCTTTGCTCAGCCATTTCTGCCTCTGCCATGCAGATCTTTCAGAAGGTTGTGACAGGCCTCTGAAGGTTATGGATAGGTTTCTAGCAACCGATCTCAGAGGAAAAAAAAGTTCCTAGGCTTTGTAGGTAGTCAAGAGACTGAGACTGTTCCCAAGTTTGTGACAGTTACAGCCTGGAAGGGAACATGAAGGCCCAGAGCAGGGAGCCTCACTGAGCTGTGTGAGTGTGCACAATTTGTTAGGTCGTTTGGTTGCTACAGTGATGTTTTCAGTGTTGCTTATCTGGTGCTGTGCTGAGACATCTCTGCATCTCCTGTTGTGTCTTCTGCTGGCCCTGTGTGCTGAATCCCAGCGTATTGTCTGGCTGCCTCTGCTCTAAGTTCCCAGTGGCAGGAAGAAGCCATCTTGGGAGCATTCTCTTTAGGACCTTAAAACACTGGACAATGTTTTGCCTGAGGTAAGCATCCATTTATGACCTCAGTGGCTTTTTGTTTTCCCTTGTTTATTAAATAAATCCCATCATTGCTGGTTTCTGAAGCTGAGTAGTCTTGCAGTTGTATACAACACAGTTTCAACTGAGGTAAACATCCATTTATAACCTTGGTAACTCTTCATTTTCCCTTGTTTGTTAAATAAATGCCATTCATATTGTTTTCTGAACCTGAGTACTCTTGCAATTGTACTCAGACAGTGATTGGCAAACTATTTAAGCACTGTCCTTGGCCAGTTTTAGTGTCCCTTGCTGCACTGTATCACATGTACAACCTAAAGAGTAGAATTTTTTAAGTTGTAGTAATTGTATAAATGTACTTCCAATAGCCACTAGACACAGATGTGAAAATCAGAATTTCACTTACACTGGCTACAGTTCAAGTGCTCAACATCTATGGTCGCTAGTGGCTATGGAGTTGGGCAGGATGGGTGAAAACCACTTCTATCATCACTAAACAATGCTGCTCTAGGAGATTTGTATCTCAGAAGCCTAATGTGTTTAGCTGGAATAATTTTAGATTTCCACTTTTTCTATTCATCCTCTCTTAGATTTCCCCCTTCATACTACATGAGAACTTTTATTTTGGGGGGCTCTTGTAGACAGCCTCACCTCCAAGGAGAGGATTTGAACACGAAGTCTTAGAAAATAACATGTGAAATTGCCATCTGGAGGTTGGTACAGTGGCAGATTCAGCCATTTTTGAGAAATTATCTGGCTTTGGAGTTACTCCCAGAATTCTGATTTAGCAATTCCTAAGCTTGTAGCAAGTCTGAAAGAAACACAAATCTGTTTTGTATATACAAATAAATCCTCGTATGCCGCATGCCATTCTCAGCCTGCCAGTTTCATCTGACTACTCCAGAAAATATAATTCAATAGCACATTAGTTAACCTGCATGTAGGGAATAGAGAATTCTGATTATTGAAATGTTCTGGTTGAGTGACAAACCCCATTTTTGCAGAAAATCTGCCAAGGCTAAGGATTTTTCTCTACAAGATATTGTGCTACTCTATTCTCTCTTTCAGCTGATCACGGCTGCCGTACTTCATTCCCCCAGCACTCAGAAATATATCTCTTTGCTAAAAACTACCCACTATGCAATTGATATAGTCTTAATGGTGTCTCATAAAAACAGATCAGTAGTGGTGTTTTGGACAATTTTAGAAAAAAGATTAAACTGTTTGGAAGAAAACTTAAGATCCTCTGCCCAAATTTTATACATTTGTGGACCCTAATCTCTGACAGGCAGGCAGATTCTTCAAATAGCATAATTTGAAAATAAAAATCATTCACATCTTTTATTTTACATAGTAAAGATTAAGACAGCTGTCAGGCAATCCTGCAAAGGCTTTGCAAATATTAATTCATTTACTTTTTATAACCACTTTAGCATTAGATGTCACATTATTATATATATTTTTAAGATTATTTTATTTATTTATGCACACAGTCTCTGGGGTCTAGGCCAGAAATGTGGGAGGTGAGCAGACTCACCAGAAACAGAGTAGAGAGTTGAGGAAAGCAGAACAGGTGGATCTACTGAAATCCACTGCTGAGGGGAGCAGCAGTAAGATAGGAGAGATCTGTCGTGCCATGTGGGTCAGCTCCCTGGCCATGATGGAATTTGTGCCACAGTGGCTGGTGATAACTTCATAGCACTGAGACTTTGGCCCCTGCACCACCAGGAAGGCTCTATTGTATTCATTGTAAATGAAGAAACCAAGAACAGAGAGATTTAGATAGGCCATTGCCTGTCTACCTGAATGTTCAGTACATTTATGAAACTGGTACAAGAGCTGTAGTCTGTGTGTAGATAACCACAGACATGGCTGAGTTAGGAGGTCCCTGCTTCTCTCACCAATCCTTTCACAGGTACCACTGTAGGCGATGGTGTTGAGGAGCCGGAGTGAGGAAGGGAGAAGAGGAACGCTGACAATGCCCTGTTGGGTCCCAAATGAAAAGTGAAGCCAAGAGAAGCCTTTTCTTCATTTCTTGAAAATAATTCATACACATGACTGGTCTTTTATTGCACTTTAATAGATTTGGCTCTCTGATGTAATTTTTTCCCCAACTCAGAAAATACATACTGAGTAATGAACTAGCTTGAGGATGAGGGGGGAAGGAAATAATGCAGAATTAACTAACCATTATGATGCTTGATTTTCTTCCAATTTAATGGGGGCAAACAGTCAAATACAAAACAATAATCATACAAGTCATGAAACATGTGCACTTAAAGAGAGGGTCAAAAGTGCTGATATAGAATTAAAGGAATAATGTTGGTTTTGCATGGAGAAATTGAAGTTGATTGCACAATGGGATAAGTTTGAGATCCATCTTCAGAGATAAGTGCATGTGACTCATAGAAAGTTAGAAATTATAGTTAGGAAACCCATACATCTTACTTTGATGAGTAATATAATGGAAGGTTTTGTCTGTAAAATAATGACTGTCACTGAGTGTTTGTAGAGAGAGAAAGTGAAAGAGAAAGTTTAAGGGAGATTTTAAAGATGAAATGAATCTCCTTTTTCAGACTACCTAACAAATATCAGATATTGAATTCAAGACCTTCTAAATCAGATTTCATTTTACTTCATATCAAATAATTTTTTAAAGATTTATTTATTTATTCATACAGAACTGGGGTACAGGCCAGAGATGCGGAGGGTGAGAGGCTTCACCAGAGACACAGTGGGGAGCAGAACAGGCAGATCGATGAAGTACACTGCTGAGGGGAGCAGCGGGCGGGTCAGGAGAGGTCTGCTACGCCATGTGGTCACCTCCGGGGCAGGCGGGAATCGAACTCATGCAGAAGTGGCTTTAGCTTCTTAGTGCTGTGCTTTAACCCGCTGCGCCACCAGGGAGGGCCAAGTTTATTTCAACATTTAAGTAAATATCAGTTAAGAAAAAATACTAGATTTTTCATTAAAAAAAAATATCATTTCACTTACCACATGGTTTGTCAGTTCAGCCTGGAAAGCATTTTAAACTTTGGAATGGAATAAAATTGGGAAAACAAAGATAAAATTTTTGAGAATGTCTTATTTAGAAAACTTTAAATATGTATTTGTTAGAAGCTAGAATGATTGTGTACTACCAATTCCTTTGATGAGAATGAAACATTTAAAATATGATGAATTAATAATTGATCAATTAATTGGAAAATGCTTGATTTTCTGAGTGAGGGTACATTAAGGTTTTTATACTGTTAATATTAATTATGAGTATAGGTTTTATACTTAAAATATTACTTTGCAGTTGTATTGCATTTATGACTGTTTATTTTCTATATTTTCATCTCTGCTAAGTTTTTATATGTTCCTGTAAATTACAAAATTGTCAAAAACACATTTTTTTTAATACTCCAAAGGAGCAGCTTCCTAACCATACTTTTTTCTTTTCTGGCAGATGACATTTGATCCAGAAATCTTTTTTAATGTTTTACTGCCACCAATTATATTTCATGCAGGATACAGCCTAAAGAAGGTAAATATAAAACACGTATTGTCTTCTTTTATTTTTACGTAAGGAATTTTACAAGCATTTATCAAAAACCCAAATATTTTATGGGTTTACCTAACTGGTAAGAATATCCTTGTCTTAGATAATGTGATATAGATTCAAATCTCACTTGCTTTTAATTTCCTCAGCCTGCTGTGCCCAATAGCTGTCCCTGAGCCTCATGTAGAAACTGAGCCATTGAAATGTGTTTAGTCCGAATCTATAGGGTCTGGCTTATAGATTTTTTAGGTATAGACTAACTTCATGCTTTATGTATGGCATGCATGCAGCTTTATGTATGGAATACATACTGAAGTTTCAAGGCTTGACACAAATCAAGAATGTAAAAATGATAAGTTTTGGGAAAAATAAAGCGTATCAAAGTTTATTTTACTCTTTTTAAAAACTATGTCCATGTGGCTATTAGAAAAAAAATAAATCTCATGCATGATTTGCATCATATAATATTGGACAGTGCGATTATTCTAGATGATTGTATAGAGCTCATTGTTAATTAATGGTAGGTTGATTCATTACAGTGACACCTCAAAAATGCTTTGCTAATGCTCTGCTTGTACTTATGGAGAGAGAATCCAGTTTTGCAGTTTCTGTGCAGCTGACATTCCTTAGGCCCAGCCTGAATGGGCATGTTTTCTAGATTAGTAATTTACATTATATCAATAGTTCTTGCTAGCATTCCATACAGCGGAATGAGGTTCTGGCCTGTTGATTTTTGAGGTGCAGAGATAACACAGAGGCTTCTGTGCTGCTCATTCCTTGGGCAGTGATTCCTGGGAGTCTTCTCCTTTGACCCATCTGCTCCAGTAGCCAGGCTGCTTGTTCAGCACAAGCCTTATTTTCTTGTGTACTCCAGGCTCCCTCTTGCTGTCAGTTCTGGCTACTCAGCTCCCACTTCCAGAACTGGGAAGGAGTTTCCAAGAAGCATTTGCGAAGATTTAGAAGCTGGATTTACATAGCTCATCTTCCCTCAGCCCCAGCTCCAATACCAGGCTACAGTTGTGTGATTATACAAATAAATTAAAAAGCTTTTAATGTTTTTAGCTCATTCAGAAGAAACATAAAAGTCAAAAAGCAACTTGAATCTTTTAAAACAGTGTTTTTTTTTTTTAAAGTTACAGAGTTTCCCTTGACAGCAAAACTTCTAAAACTCCTTCTGTAATGACTCCAGTCCTATGTGATTAGTGCACTAGTGCACTCTCTTTCTCTCTCTCCTGGCACCCTCCAGATGTGCATTTTCCTCCCTATTTTGAGAAACCCTTGTCCTTTGTAGTACATATCAGTTAAGACTTTAGTTATTCAGTAAGGCCAGCGGCAGATTCTAAAACAATCGTCTAGACAGTACAAAAAGGAAGAGGCTGTGGAAATGCATACTTTATTTTTATTTCCTGTCACACTAAGAAGAAAATGCTAATATATTTCATTATATACTACACATGCACACACACATATATTTTATGTATATTTTTTTTCTCCACAGAGACACTTTTTTCAAAACTTAGGATCTATTTTAACGTATGCCTTCTTGGGAACTGCCACCTCCTGTGTCGTCATTGGGTAAGTGACATCTGGTCCAGGTGGCTGTTTGGCCAGTGATCTGTGTGAAGGACCTCACATTTCCTCTTCTGACATTGGCTGTGTAAATTGTCAGTTCGTTTCAGTACATCTCATTATCATACAATTCTTTGCTTTCACTTCCAAGGTTGCATGTCTTCTGACAGACATGTCTTCAAAGCAAAGCAAACTGGGACTACAGTGGTAGATACTCTTTGTGAGTTTTGGACTTCTGTCTCAGTAAATGTGGATAACTTGGTTTGAGGTGTGTGAATCACAATGAATCTTCTTTTCTTTTTGGCTTGAATAATGCAGATAAACACTCTGCATATTGTCTACATCTTCTTTGCAACCCTACCTTTATTTGACAGGGATATATAATAATAAGTACATGTCAGGGTTTTGTTTTGTTTTGTTTTGTTTTTTCAAAACAAAGTTTATAAGAGAGTTGTCTGAAATAGACATTTCAAAATATCAATTGAGTTATTTAATGCTGGGATGGCTTTTTGGTCAATACACTATAGAATCCAGGCTTGTTTTTTTTTTTTTTTTCTCATTGTATTTTATTGGCTATGCACTGCCAAGCCTCATGACTAGTGATATAGACTCTGACTTGCAGCTCATCAGAAAGGAAAATGGAGTACAAAATGGGGAAGTCAATCCATACATTTAGATACTCTCCAATACATTAAACCTCTCTACTGTAGAAATCGTGTCCAGCAGCTCTGACTATGATAGTATAGATGTCTTCAACTGTCTGAAATGGCGATCTCTACCTTGAATTTTACTGCATACAGCTATAACCCTGACACAAATAACAGATGCTAAGAGCACACAATAGTGACTTGTCCAGGCTTCCCTTCTGAAGTGTCTAGTGTGTGTCTCTGGAAGGCGACTTGGATCTGAAAGTAGGGGAATTTTGTTTATTTTGTTATTAAATTTGTATTGATTCAAGCCTAGAACAACTAAGGCTACACTAAATGAAGATGTTCAGCAATAGTTAAGGTTTATTGCAATGAGGATACTAACGATTTTGGCACCCGGTATGTAGATTGGGGGGCCCCATCAGGTCTAGTGACTTAGGACGTCTTTGAACTAATTGAGATGGAAGATGTTGCTAATTTCTATGTTTGGAGAGGGGTATTCTGTTCTGTGGTAAATATGCAAATTTCAGAGCTGGCAAGGGCCTCAGAGATCTTTGTAATTAAAGACCCTCATTCTGAAATTATGGAAGTGACATCTTGAAAGGCTAATTAATTGGCTCCATCCCACCACTGTGGGATGGAGTCCTAGTCACAATGGAATTCAGAACTTCAGCTCCTGACCCAGTAAGAGGTACCACCACATTCTCTTCCACTAGCAGTCTCTCTCTTGAATTCTTATACCCTGTTCTTACACATATGGACACTGAACAAATGTTCACTGATTTACTAAACTGATTGATTTTTTTAGCAACTATATAGTAGGAAGGTCTGAAATTTATAACATTGGGTCCAAATATTAAACTCGTGGACAATGTTGTCACATTATAGAATGATCATTTTCCTTTATGTACTACTTTTCAATATGTATTAGTACATGTGATTATATAACATGCTTTTACCAATATGAAAATGATCTATAAGCCCATTTTTTAATACAACAATGTATAATATATGTGTGTTGCATATAATTGACTTGTTCTAAAAATATCCAGTTCAAGAGATCTAATGATACTCATTTATTAGAGTTAAGAACCTCTTCTAAATTGATTTTAAGGTACAATCAGTAATTTATAGTAGAAAGTGATCTGAATAAAAAGCACTTTTCTGGGACAGCTTTTAGAATCATTTTGTTGTTGGACTGGGCATTATCTGCAGACTGAAATCTTGTAGGGTGTTTTCAGAAGGCATAGGCAGTTTAAAGATTTAAAAGAGACCACTGAAAAGTTTAGCTTGAATATGCAAAGTTCACATGTGTACTACACAAAGATCATTCTGATGGCATGTGAAGGAAAAAATTTGAAGTAGAAACAGGGCAGCTAGACATACAAGGGTCACTTTCCTTAGACCGGGTTAGGAATAAAGAGGGCCTGGCCGCAGGCACTGAGGGTAAGGGTGGTCCCACACACCAGAGGGGGATGGGATCATCCAGAATGGTGTGTGATTAGGGGGTAAAGGTATGTGTACAATAGCATGACTAGGGGAAAGGAGGAGACAGCCACAAATGCCAAACAAGTATTGGCCCAAGAAGCAGCAAGAAAGCCAGCTGGGAATGTGTCTGGACATCAGAAAAAGAAAGAGGAGCATGAGCAGCACCTTATGGGGGCTGTCAAGTTGGGTAGGGATGAAATTACCCACAGTGGCCCTCACTGGTGGCGCAGCGGGTTAAAGCACTGCACTAAGAAGCTTAAGCCACTTCCGTATGAGTTCGATCCCCTGCCCCAGAGGTGACCACATGGCACGGCAGACCTCTCCTGACCCGCCCGTTGCTCCCCTCAGCAGTGTACTTCGTCGATCTGGCTGTTCTGCTCCCCACTCTGTCCCTGGTGAATCCTCTCACCCTCCACATCTCTGGCCTGTTACCCCAGTTCTATATGAATAAATAAATAAATCTTAAAAAAAAGAAAAGAAATTACCCACAGAGACTGGAGCATACACTGGGCTATCTACAGGGCTTCCTGGAGAAAAAGGACTGTCTGGGCTTAAGCAGATACATTCATTCTTGAATGAAGTGGGAAGGAGGAAGGACAGTCAATCAAACTGGACTCCAAGAACAATTGACAGAGACAGTAGATTCTGGGTAGTCACATATTAGAGAGCAATGAGGGCTGCATTTTCCAAGTCATCAGGTGAATTAATTCTGGTGAATATGGGGAACCTAGAAGTTTCCAACTTGTAAGGAAGTTTTACAGAGCAATTTAAGAGAATGTGAGATCTAAAATGCTGGGCACCAGTTGACAGGTGGCATTGATCCAGGCTTAGAAGTGTATGACAATATGAAAAGTCCACGAAGAGTGATTATGGGACATGAATAAAGCTCAGCTCATGGGTCATGGCCTTATGTAGATAAAGATTATTTTAAATGAAACCCCAGGATAGTTGCAGAGCTAGAATCAGTCTATAGAGGAATTGTGTTCACTTGAATGAAAAATTCTTAATTTTTATTAATTTTGTATAATTTCAGAAATTAGATGTAAACTATCTTTCCTATCACCTTGGAGAGTTTAGCAGTATCCTTCTGGCAGTAAAATCAGAGGAACTTCATTATATTTGAAGGATGAATAGTTCTTAAAGAATTCAACCCTTTTTACTAGTTCTTTCCTTATTTTATCAGTTAAGAAATATTATCTTAAACACATTTTTGCTTTTAAGTAAAACTCTTATATTTGAAATACTTCTCTATTCACCTCATTCTGGGAATACTCCTTTATCTTTGACCCAGCATCTCCACCCTTATGTGCCATTCCGATATATTGTTTCCATGACAACGACCCGATGCTTGCCATCTGCACACCATTTTATCCTAAGAACACATTTGTATCCACAAGTCTTCTTTAAGAGCAATAAAAATCATGTTACTTTAGCTTCTCTGTTAAGGAAGGGGAATTAAAGCACATTCTGTAATTTCAAAACTGTTTGGAGAAAGAGACATTGTTATAAATAATGAAGATTAGCTCATTTTTTTAAAGTCTTCCCAGGTGCCAGATGCTGACATATGCCTTTAACACACATTATCTCATTTTATTCTCACAATACCACACTGAGCTAGGCACAATTATTATCCTCATTTCCATGCTAGGATACTGAAATTGAAACTTGCCTATAATTATGCAGTAAGTACATGATAATAATCAGAAGGTACTTGATCACCTTTTCATTTTCCTTCTGCTATGATAGTTTACATTTTCTGCAATGCGTTTGCATTAATGGTATCACATTCAAACAAAACAAGCCATTAGTAATCTCTGAATCTTACACTTATCACTATGACTAGCCATTATGAAAATCTGAATAGTTAAGCATAAATTTTAACGATAATGCAAAGTAGAAGTGATACCTGCCTTTTTAAATTATTGTTAATTTAGTTTTTGAATTGTAGCATTGGGTATTGCCACATTAAGGTACCCACCCATCAAATCATCCATAATCTATTGGACCTCTTTATTCTTTGTTCCTGCCTCTCCACTACTTGCCCCTGTGAACTTTGAATGCTTCAGTTCTATAGTGAATTTTCAAGCACTAGTTTCTAAGTTCATCATCCTCTGATTCTTAATTTGGTTTCTCTGTATCCCATATATTAGTGGTGCCATCTAGTAAAACCTGTCTTTTCTTAACAGAGGTAGTGAGGAGGATAACATGAATCCAGTTTACTTGGTTAGAATTGCTGGACTCTGGGTAACTTACCCTAAAATTCTGCATTCATAAGTGTGAGGTTGTTTATATTTTTCATGTGAGTATTCCTCAGGAGTATTGATCTTCTTGTTGGGCTCCATAATATAAAGCTCACAATGCCCGATGCTCTGTCGAGGCCTCTGTGAGACCAAGGAGCAGAACCTCTATCCTCAAAGTCACCTCACTTGTTCATCTGGGGCCATTCTACTTAGAGCCCTTGCTGCTGATTCTGGACTTGCTATTGTTCTGCTCTTAAGTAGATATGTGATAATTAGGAGGCTCAAAATGCTGAGGCCTAAACCTGGAACAAGGAATACTCTTGCTAGTTTAGAACCAGAACCTTAATAGAGTTAGTTTATAGGTGGAGGTCAAGTGATAGTTATATTTTAAACTCTAGTTTGGTAAAGAGAATGCCTGAAAGTAGAGTTCCTAATCCAGGAATCACAGACCCTAAGGTGGTACATAGATGGATTTCAGGGAATCAATGATCCTCTTTAAATTATCTATGCATTTTTCAAGATTTTGCTTTTATTCGATTATTTAGAGAATTGCAATCCACAAACACAAAGAATCAGTGTTTTCTAAGAGCCTGAGCAAAGAGGTAGTTGGCATAGAAAAGATTTTATGTTA